TTACACTCTTTCACCCCCTTCTAAAATTAGTTTTTGAAATTGTTTTACAAAATAGGTTTTAAAGCCACTTAACAATGGACAACTTGCATATAAAAACCAAAAGCTGAGAAATACATATATCATGTGGAAAGCAATATACAATACATAGTGATCATGCATGACTTATTTAACCTCTCATTTCTCTTCATAGTAGTAAACTATTAGCGCAACAAACAGAACAAGAGAAGAAAAAAAATCCATCAAATTGTTATTCTATAAACAAAGTAATTCAATTGTTTTTGCCAAGCAAACGGGAGACATCATCCATGACTTGCTCAAGTTAATTACTTAGATCTCACACAGAAGGCATCGAGTCAAAAGGAACATAATAAATTCCATAAGGATAAAAAAAAATTCTGGCATTTTTTGAAGTTAAATTCCAGCTTGTCAACCAATCAAACACATGACATGACATAAAGGAAAGTAAAATTTGCAAAAAGTGGTTCACCTGGCCAGTATTCCCATTGACAAACACATTGCTGCAATTGAGATCTCTGTGGATGATGCAGGGATCATGCAAGTGCAGATAGTTCAACCCTTTCAAAATCTGCTTAGACCACTTCTTGAGGGCCTTCATTGAAACATGCCTATGCTTCTTCCTGTACTCCCTCAAATTCCCACTTGTACAAACCTCAGTGATGAAATTCAAAGTGTTGCGGTGCTCATCCCTCCACACACTGTAAAGGGCAATGATGTTTTTGTTGGTCAAGCTTCTGAGCAACCTCACTTCAGAGTAAAGCCTTTCCACCATGGCAGGATCATCACAGAAGTTCCTCAGCTTCACCTGGTTCCAAGCCACCTCAATTCCTTCTTCCTGATCAAATGCACGGTACACTTTCTTCACAGCACCACACCCCAGTAACTCACTGTATCTACCATAGCGCCCTGTTGGATCGGTCTCAACAAAGGGCTCGGAATCTTTGTCAGATGGGTCAGGGTTAACACTCGGCATCTATCACAACCAATGCAACACCAATAATAACTAATCAGGGCCTCAGCAACACCAAAATCAAATTCTATCAAACCAAATTCAACATGTCACTAATTTTTTGTGGGAGAAAACGGAAACAAACAAGAACAACAACAACCCCATTGAATTTCAGATGATGATTCTGCTTTCAAATGGAAGATTTGCCAACGAAAAATCAATCAAAAACAAACTCAGAATTAAGAAAATAAAAAACAGAAGAAGAACAAACTGTTACGTCACACAGGGGTATTCCTACAAGAATTAAAATTAATGATGGAATAATTTATATATAAATTTTCAAAAAAAAATTGTCACCAAAAATACCAAACCTAAAACAGAATAAGAATAAACTGTTATGTCACTTATTAATGTTTAAGATTACCATGTGATTCTGGCTATTCTCCACTTAAGATGTGGCCAAATTTTTGAACATACTAAAAAATAAAGCTAAGAAAATTCATACATGTGTGACATAGAAATCAGGCGAAATTACAAACATGCAGTAATTTGAGAGCATATAATAAAATTTTCATCTGACATGAGTAAAACTAGAAAGCACACACAGAAGGGTTGAAATTGTGATTAATTGAGACTTAATTTAAGAATATAATGCATAATAAGAAAGGAAAAGCTAAGATTGATTACCATTAAGAGAACCGATTGCTTGACCCCTACGCACAGAAAACAACACAACCTCTGCAGCTGTCGGCAGATAACAGAAGCTCCAACCTCGATTCTCACACACAAATAGAGGACCAAGACCTCTTGCTTCACACTATTTATACACAACCAGCTTCAGGGGCAATTTAATTCTCACAATAAATCATTGACTTTTTTTTTTATTTTTTCCCAATTCAACTTTTCTTTTTATCAACCAAAATAGTTGTCATATGAAAATGGATAACTTTTACTGAATTCAGTTTTTTCATATTTGTTGACTTTGTGGACAATTATTACTTATTATTAATTCATTTAACTAATTATCTTAACTTTCATTATCTTCTTTTTAACCACGTTTTATCATTTTGAAAATTCAAAAATTGAATAGCAAAATTATTACTTATTAGAATAGTGGATTAAGCCTAACTCAATCCTACAAAACCGGCTTGTAAGGTGAGGGTTGTTTTCCACTTATATACTATTCAATTGTTTAATCTCTAGTTGATGTGAGACTGGGTTTTTCCCAATATTACTCCTTCTGTTTTTATTTCATAGTCAGTTTTGTCAGATTTTGTTATTTTTTTTCATTGTCACTTTTCTAAAATTAATATTAATTTTCTTTTTTATTTTTACCCTTGATGATTAATGCATGTTTACTGAACAATGTGTTTATTTATTTTCTAATGGACCTATTTCTTCTCCAACCATCTAAAGGGTATAACAGAAAAACATGTAATAAATACTTTAAAAAACTAAAATATCAATCATTGTCTTAATTCTTATGCATAACCATAAAGACAATAAAAAAAAAACGAAGAGAGTATTTAAATTTCACGTAGTGAAAAGATATGACTTGGTTTTTATTAGCTAAAAAGGTGTAAGAAGATTGATTTGTTTTATATTTTTTTTTTATCAAAATTATTGAAATCAAAATTTGAATTTAAAATCTTGTTCATTCTATTTAATCTTTTATCATTAGATGGGTCCTAATATTAATATTTATTTTATATGAGATATCTTATTTAAATTTTGAAAATAATGAAAAGTACAAATAGAACTTTATTCTTTAAATGGGTTTATTTAACTCAACTTTATTTTAACCACTCATCGTTAAAACTTTGTTGTCATGGAATATGTGCGTACGACGTTAATAATGATTAGAAAATAAGTTTAAGATTTTTTATAATGTTTCTGTATTATTCTCCCGATTTATTTGTAAATACTATTCCGATTCCGTATATAGGTAAAAAAAATCATTTACGCCAATTAAAAATGTTAATTAATATCATTTAACTACATTAATTTTATTTAAAAAAATAATTTAATTTTTTAACTACTCTTTCCTAAAATTTGATATTAAAAATAAAAAAAAAATCATGAAAATATAATTTCAATTAAATAGAATAAAATTTTAAAGATACTAACATTAAATAGAAAATTTTAATTGATAGTTGAGACCAAAAATAAGAGTTTTTTTATATATATATTAAGAAGTGGTGAGCATAAAATATAAAATATTTTGATATACTCCTTAAATATATTGTGTTTTATTTAATGATTTTGTATTAGCCTAACTGATACGGGTTTGAATATTTCTTTTATTTTTGAAGAAAGTCAAATCCTACAAGCTGGGAATTAATTAGTGGGAAATGAATGAGTGAGTTTTTGTAATGGTCGGTCAACGCGTGTGCGATTTGGTGGCAGCGCGTGAGGGCCCAACAAATACATGCTTCTCCCTTCTTTCCATGTAGAAAAATGTTAGCCAAATTCTTTATACATTTTTTATTAAAAGATAAAGTAATTTTAAAAAATAAAATAAATTATTTTATAAATCAAAATTAATTTTTATAATTTTTTCTACTGATTTATCTAAAATTGTATTTTTAATTTATGAATAAGTTAGTTTTAATTGATAAGAAAAAATATTTTATTTTATTTTATTTTTTATAAAAATGGAAAAGTTTATCCGAATAACTCTAATATTATTTTTTATTATCAGTTAAAAATTAAAAAAATTGTATAAGTTTTATTATTATTAAACAGAATATAATATTCACAAAATTAATAATTATTAAAAAAAATGGTAGTGTTGCTCTGAAGTGACTACTGGGTGCCTTAACTAGTGGTTAGTGCCTTCCACGAAAACATTAGGAAAAGAAGGAAAAGGCAATAGTTTGTGGCTTCAGAATCACATTCTCATGGTGTTTACACGAATCCAGTTAAAGAGGAATGCGTGGTATAAAGTTATATATTAAAGTTTAAGGTTTAAGGTTTAGGTTTAAGATTTAATGAATTAGTTGTATCAATATTAATTTTAATTTATTAATTATTATTTAAGTTTAATATTATAAATATTGGAGTTTTGATTTTAATATTATAATTTTTTTCTGAAAGTTTATATTTTTTTATAAGTAACTGTTAATTTTCTTGTCACCTTCTCATCTTTAAAAAATTCAATTTTAATACTCATTTTAGATTTCAAAATATGTTGAATCGACCCTAATTAAAGTTAAGTGATTTTGTCCTTCATTTTCTTTTATGGAAATTATAGATATCTTTCATGAAAGAGAAATTGTTTCAGATAAGTATAATAGTAAAACTTTCTTTTAGGCCATTGGCAAGGTTAGGTTATATGTTTAAAATTTTGAATTTAAACTACTTTTAGAATAGGATAATCATGTGTCAAAGATGTAAACGTAGTATTTTGTTGTTAATCAGATATAAATGTATTTGTCTCGATTAATTCAAAATTCTATTTTTTTTTATAAAATATATATTGTATTAATTAAGTTTCATATTAAATAAATTTAAAATAAAATAAGAATTACATAAATATTAAATAAATTCTAAAAGAAAATAAGTTTTAGAAATTTAAAACAGGTACGGGTATATATATTTATCTCGTCCTCGTACCCAATTTAATAGATCAGATATTACTATACTCATATTCATATTTAGTCAAATAAATTATTATCCATCAAAATTTGATTAGGTTTGGACATTACTCATAATACAAATTTACTTATCATCCTTATTTTTTTTTTTTTAATCATTCTTATTTCTTTTTATTCTTATATATTTGTCTGTTATTCTAAAATTGTTATTAAATTTTTAAAAAATAAACATATAAATTATACAACTTTTTTATTTATATTCTTTTAAAATATAAAATCATGGATGTCCATAAATTTAAATGTCCAAGACTAATAAAATACTTTGATTTGATATTTTAAATTTTCAGGGTCAATTTCCACTAAATCTAATTAAATTTGTTGTTATTTAGATTGAGTATATCATTTTAGTGTTGAACACACAAATTCTACTTATGTAACATATTTTAAAATTTATTTATTTTTATATATTTTATTAAAAAAAATACGGGAAAAAACACACAAATGAAATTGTTTAAAATATTTTTTTTACAAGATTCACGAGAAGTAGGATTATATATATATTAAAAATTATAATGACCTAAACCATAAAATATAAACATATAAATTATATTTTAGGTTTACAAAAAGTAATTTATATTGTAACATAATATAAATTTTAATTATTAATAATTTATTAAATATATATACCAAATTTAGTCATAAATAAATATATAAATACATAATAAAATATATTAAAAAAATCATAAAGAGTTTTTTATCAAAGAAAAACACCTAAAAATGATTTCATTTAAAAAAAATCCCTTAAAAATACTTTTATATAATATAGTTATTCTCATTTGTGTATACATAAAATGATGATTACATCAATTTTTTCCAACTTAAATTATTTTGATGAATTCAAGTATCAAATATGACAAAATATAACTAAAATTGACAAGTGGATATTTCTATTTTCAAGAGATAAATACTACTAAAAAAACAATAACTTTTGATTTGATGATTTTATTTAATAATCATAAAAATATTTTTTTAACTCATTGAAATTATAATGACAACATCAAAATTATAATATATGATTTTTGTGCATTTTATATGGATTCCTACTATTAAACTTAGTGGTTTCAATAATTATAAAAATATCATCACCTAAATAATAATAATAATTTCGTAAAATGGTGGAATATATAATTAGGGCTGGTAAATGGTAATTGAACATTGAAGGATTGATTGAATTTGGGGAATTGAAGAATGGAGGGAACGAAGACGATCTCAGCGGCACTGAAACTGGTGGACGCCAAGAAAGAGAATCTGAAGAAAGCATTCGAAGATCTCCAAAGCCACTCCTCTCTCCTCGCCTCCCTCCCTCTCTCATGGCCCCAACTCGACGCCCACTTCACCTCCCTCCACGCCGCCCTCTCCCACCGCTTCCGCCTCCTCCAATCCCAAAACGACCTCGCATTGCCCAAAACGCACGCCCACCATCTCACCGCGCTCTGCGCCAATTCAAACGCCACAGCGCTGCGGGACTACGTGGGGGACCATCTCAAGGACAGGCTCGCCCTCGAGGCCGCGCTCCATAGCGCGCTAAAGTGCGCCCCCGATCCCGCCTCCCTCGCCATCGATTGTTTGGGCGGTGTTTTTGGCGCCAACGCGGTGAAGGACGACAAGGAGGCCAGGAAGTTGAAGCGGACCTGCTGCGTCCTGTTCCGGCAGCTGAGGCTGGCGGCTGTGGCCGTGTCCATGACTGTGGCGAAGAGGGCGAAGAGGGTTTGTGCTGAGTGGAAGGCCAGTTTGGTGGGTGATGCCGCTTTGGATGGCCTTGGGGCCATGGCTTTCTTGCTCTTTCTGGCGGCTTATGGCTTGTTTTCCGAGTTGACGCCCAATGAGTTTCTCTCTTTCTCTGCTACTGCTGCTGCCAATGAGGACCTTCCTGAGCTCTACCGGAGTGTCGGCTTCACTCACAAAGTTCCAGGTTCCAATCCTCTCAGGCTCCTCTTTCGTTATAGTCTCAGCCTTTTAAATCATAACTTTTTTGTTTCAAATGCCCAAACGTTTGAATTTTATAGATTTTTTTAAATGGTTTGATTTGTGAGGGAAATTTTGTTTTGGGTGATTTGCAGGTCTTGTTCAGAAACTTATTGACAGGTGCAAACATGTTATGGCTGTCAGGTATATTTTTGAGTTCAATCTTGCTGATAAGATTCCACCGGTTCCCATTTTGAAAGCTCATGTGAATGAGTCTCAGAAGCTTGCTAAAAGGCTTTCCGATGAAGGAAAGACACTTGTAAGTATGCTTTCCCTTGATTGAACTCCATGCACTGTATGGTGTAGCTGCCTGTATTCATTTAGGTGTTTTTTTACAGAATGAGATCACCGCGAGAGAAATCCATGCACTGAAATCGGTGTTAAAGGTTATTGAGACTCATAATCTTGAGTCTGAATATCCCCCTGAAAGCATTCAACAGCGTATAGAGCAATTGACGAAGCACAAGGCCAATGTAAGATATGCGGCATCAGCTTTTTCTGCAAAGCCTCCTCAGCATCAGCAACAACAAAGTGGGATCAAGCGTCCTAGATTGTCTGCCCCTGTTGCTTCTGCAGCTGTCCTTGATAGTGTCAGTGGTGCCAGTTCAACTGTTCACCACTACCAACAACCTCATTTCCAGTCATCAGGTTTGTTGCCGGAACATCTAAATCCATACATGAGCTTGCCAAACATGCCATATGGCATGAAGACTCCAACCCCAACCATCTCGCCTTATACAGGTGCTTCAACTGGGCCTTATGGCCTTGATGGTGTCTCAATGGGTCCCAGTGGCAACCTTGGTCAAGGTGGTTCTCTTCCAAATTCATCAGAGCCACTTGTGCCATCTGGTTATTATGATAGTGTCTCTGCCTATGGTGGTTATGGTCTACAATATTTATACCCAACATCTTATCCTCAGTAGATCAACAGATTGCTTTGTCTTTGAATAATGAACTATTGGGTTGGTAGCTTGGTATTAGATTATCCACGACTTTGACTTCTGACTTTTAGTTACAAAGCATAGCTTGCTTTGTTGATATCTCCAATTATAGGGCAGGAACTAGATTCAGCAATGAAGGATTGTGAGGGAATGATTAGTGTCACAATTTTAATTACTTGAATCATTTTGCACATACAAAATTCCTTTTAGGTCAATCATGGTCTTCTTTTGAACTTCTCTGTTCTTTCTCTTTATTACTGCCTTGCATTTATTGTCATTACCAGGCATTGAGGTTTAGACTGGGTTTCAAAGCTAACGCCCTCTCAAATAGAAATTTTCGTAGGTGAAATTTTTTGAGAATTACTTTTAAGCAAGTCTAGAGTTGTTTCATGCGTGTTTTCTTTTTCTTTCAAGGTCATAGTTCATAATAGTAGAAGAAAAAAAATCATTTTTAAAGGCAGTTACGGATTAACTTTATCAAACATTATTAATGGGATGGAAATAGGCATGACAATCTAACCCGTCCCCGTGGGTATCCGCCCGAACCTATCTCGATTTGGACGGGAAAAACCCGTGTTTATCGGGTTCGGGTTTTCCCCAAAATTGGGGATGGGCACGGGGATGTTAGTATCCGCCTCGCCTGCTTAATAATATAATTAAAAAATCATTTATATATATATAAACCAAAATTAGAAATATTTATATGTAAAAATTTGTATTATTTTACTTTTCTTTATTTTTTTTTTAAATTTGTTCATATTTGTTTAAAAGAAAAAAAGAAAAAAAAAAGGTAGGAACGAGGGCGGGGAAACCCGAAACCTACCGGGGACAGGGATGAATACCCAGATTTTACCCTCAGCGGGTATCGGGGGCAGGGGCGGGGGGGGTTTAAATCTGCGAGGACGTTCCCCGCCCCCGCCTCGCCCCGTTGTCATGCCCAAATGGAAAGTATTTAGTCTTATGCCTTACCCAAATAAACAACTCTCTTGATTTTAACTTTTGTTTGGTTGCCTCTCCCATTATATAGATACTCACTTTTCTCATCCATTGGTTCCAAGGATTTTAAATTTTTAATCCAAATGTATAGTAATTCATCCATTCCTGAAGCTTTAACTTAAATCCTACGAGAATTGTATTGATTTTTCTCATCCATGAGATCATCCACCATCCACATGGATGGAAAAATAAGTGTGTGTATATATAGTTATTTGTATTTCCCTGTTTGAATTGTCTTTGGTCTCATGTCTTTACCTTTTTATCTCATCAAATGTCTCTCACAAATAGCTGGTATTCTGTACAGTTGCTCATCTCCGTTTCTTTGTTTTTTCTGTGTTTTGGCCCATTCATGAATGTCCTGTATGAAATATAAAAAAAAATCTGTTGGCTTTATTTTGCTTCTTTTGCACATGGGCTTGTGCCAAAAAGAACAGAGAAAATAATGTTTGACTTTCTTTGAAGGGTTAAAGTACGTTTTTTAAAATGAATATTTTTGGTCTCTACTATCATATGACATCGATTGATTGCTTATGTATCTAATATGTCACATGCCATCCTAGGTGATATTCAATAATGCGTATGTGATGTCATGCCAACACGAGTTTCAAGAAAAAAAATTGTCCCAAAATAAATGCTATTTATCTTATTCTAAAATGAATTCATTCAAATTTTGAAGGGTTGGAAATGAAATTTTTTTTTTTACTATTTTCAGAGGCCAAAGACAATATTTCCATATTATAGAGGAATGAAAACTAAAGAAAAAATTATTTTAGAAACCAAAAATAAAATTCGCTCATTTTACAGGGTCAATAACATATTTAACTCTTCTTTGAATTTTAAATTAAACACAATTGCATTCTTCTGTATTTTGACCTAATTCATGTCTTTTGATGGTGAAGGTTTTTTTTTTTTTAGGGTTTATAGTTCCCACTGTACTGTGATAATCATTTGTATATGTGACTGTTGCCTCAGTCTATTCGACAATTGATTTCTTGAGACAACTTGATGGTTAAATGATTATATTGTATTTGCTGTGTGACTTGCTGAGTTAATTCTAATTAAGTTATATCTTAAGTAGATGTAGATGAATTGATGTTAAATGTCATAATGGTAGTGGTATTTGGTTGAGTCATGGTATGTATTTGTTCTATAATAGTTGCGGTCTCATTTTTTTGAAAGCAGCCCAAATTGCAATATGTTTGGGTTTCCATCAAGTCACAAATTGTTGAATTACGAAACATTGGGCTAGCCCCCCTGATTTTGAATCCAATGTAAGTGACACTGAAAATGTAGGAAAATCAACTTTTGGGCTGTCTGTGATTTTGTAGTTTGTACCACTTAATCATTAAGTGGGGAAAAAGTTCAGTGCAGTCAATACTAGAAAAATAAAGAAATATGATTTACAGGAGTTGGCTCAGTTGGTCACATCCATGACAAACATGTGGCTAAAGTTTGAACCTCAGGTCTCCTGATGGTGGGTTACTTGTAACTTGCAAGTCCAATGCAAGGTCTGTGGGCCTATCCTGAATCTGGATTTGGGCAACCATGTGCGATTATGATTAGCCTAAGAAAATGAGTCTTGACACTTTTTGGTACACACACATATCCTACTAGGGAAGTTCTCTTAACAATTTTAGCAGCAGTTGATTGTAATACATGTTTCTGTACAGTATTTTGTTCTTTAAGTTTCTTCTCTAACTGGGGGGGGGGGGGGGGGGGGTA